AAGAAAAAAAAAGAAGCTCATTGACACGAAGATTGGACAGCGTATATCCTGCAACGATGTAAGTTATGAATATTCTTATTAATGAACAAAAAAAAAAGGAAAATGTTATTCACTTACTCCCATAGAAGGGTTGATATTAAATCGTAAAATATATATTTTTTTTATTTCAGTTTCAGAAAAAATTGTAAATAAAACAATCAGTTTTTGTTGTTGTTAGAAACTTGATTTTCTTTACGTGTTACATAGCTTATAAGTTAAGGACTTTTCCAAGTCAGGCTTTAATGAGCGCATAAATCACAGGTAACGCACAAGACAGACTTTCATTCCGAATTCGGAGATCGTACGATCGAAATCAATGTCAGGACATTGTGGCACGAAGGTGGGGCCGATTTCACTTTCCTCTCTGATGGGTTGTTAATGCATCGCTACAGAAAGTTTTCTTAATATCTCAATGATCGCATGATAACCTAATACGAGTAATAACAACCTATAAATTGTGAGATATTACATTACTTTAATATTACAATACTTAATTGTGGGTAAATGGTTGATTGTCATGAATAATGAAGAGAAGAATAGTTGGGTGATCAGTCAAATAAGAAGGCAAAAATAAATGATAATATTACATTATAATAATATGAAAATATTATCATTATAATATTAATATATTACATTATAATATTAATATATTATATATTATAATTTTATCATTTATTTTTGCCTTCTTATTTGACTGATCACCCCAACTATTCTTCTCTTCGTTACAATACTTATGTGAGAACTATTCCATTAGTTATTTATCCTTCTGATCCCAAACACATTTGAAGAATGAAGTATTTTAACAACCAAAAAATTATGAAATGTCCAAAAAACGTTTTTAAAATATTTCTTTGTATTTTAATTATCAATCCTGTCCGATTCAAAATGTTTAAAATACAATTTCAATCAACATCCTGAAGCTCTGATCTCCTCCCTCCCCCCAAAAAACTTTTTAAACTTCCTAATGAATTTTTCTAATGACTTTTGTTAAAGTTTTAGAATAAATCCAGATATCAGTATTGGGATTCGTTACCACTCCATGAAATTTCCTTGATTTTTGTAATTCCTTCATTTTTTCCTTGTCAATGTTTAAACAGACATACTACTCAGATTGGTTAGAATCATAGTATTGCAGTATGGGGTATTTGCTTGAAATACTCTTTCCAAACTTGAATGAATTTATTATTTTTAGAAATTAACGGTTATAGATATATACGGTATTTTTTTTACTATATGAAATCGATTTATTTTTAATTTCAATAGAACTTATAGCGTTATGTAGATAATTTTAGACCACCATATTTATTAAGTGCACAGTATAAATCAAGTAATTGTACATCTTAACCAAGTTTATACTGTATCTCTCTTAGACAAAAAGTACTGCAGAATGATACCTGAGTTAAGAGAATCAATCTGCTGTCTCCAAACGCAGAGATAGAGAAAAAAAATCCTAGATCAGCATTCTGCATATTAATTCAAATTTTTCATTTAGAGGGAGTATTCAATGGAAATTTTCAGATAAGATTGGAATTTTACAAAAACAGTACGATAGACCAGTAGGGCACTAGATCCTTTAACAGTCGGTCTCTAGATTGAGTCTGGGAGTATGGGCTTCTGTTTTGTGATCCGCGGATATGGATCTCTGGTGTTCGAATCCTCCTTAAGATAGGCTAGGCTCGAAAACATGGGTACTTTGGCCATTTCTGGCATTGAACAATCAACCTGGCAGTTGGGTACAACCATGACTAAATCACCTCCTTGTACAACCATTGTTCACAATGCAGTATTTTCTTACCAAGTACTAAACCCAAGACCCTTCATGGGTTGTAATGGTACACGTTATAAGACTTTACCATAATAAGTTAGGCAGATGTTCGGTTAAAATTAATAGATAAATAAACTTCATTCTTGATCAATGAAATCAATCAACAGATTAAATTGCAGTAATGCTTTTAGTAAGGTCAGTTGAGAGAACTATTCAAAAAAGAGGAGCAAACATATTAGTGGATAGAGCGCTTTGACAAACAAATCCAATTCAAATCCAGATGATTATCGAAACAAGATCCTTCCTTTCAAACTTTAATTCTAAATTAAATCAATACTGTTCACTGGAATAGTAGTTTCGAAAAGGGAGTATAGTGATTACTTATTAAGGATTATATGGGTGAAATTATTTGTTAAAATTTCAACAGACAAAGCAACAAAACAAAAGTGAATCACATTTCAAATTTATGTTCTTATTTAAATAATCTCCTTTACCTAGTACAAACTACTCTAGATAAGCCACCTCTTAATCATATGTACTTCCAAACCCTCGAAGGTAATGTGACTCTCACATAAATATTAGGACGCAGAAGACTCAGGGAGTTTTTACATAACAGTCGGGTCTTCCCTCACTTTATTATCTTGGTACCATATAGTACCATAAAAAAGCACTTAGGTATGAAGTGATATAAAAATGGTAATTTTAAGATAAGCTATTACATTTCGACAAATAAACATTAGATGTAGTTTAAAAACACTTGATAATAAAAATAATCAACTAATTTTATTAATACAATAGATAATAGTATAGGAATATCTAATAACGACATTAACAATTTTCCTTTTTTTAATTTCTGTACAACTAAAACTGCCAGCTTTAGCTCAGAAAACTTAAGCTCAACATGTGAAGAAAAAACACATGCTTTAATAAAACTGACCACATATATGACTCTTAAATAGACAATTTAAAGTCATAGTTTAATGATAATTGTAATGGGGATCATACAGTATAATGAAAAATAAAAATAAAACAGATTGCATTGATTTTCAAAATGGGTGATTAACCCAATACATAGAGAAGAAATAAAAATAAAATAAAATTAACAAGATCAATATTTCATCTTTTAATACTGTTAGATATTCATAACAACTAACCTTCATCAAGAGTAGAGTAATTCTATTAACTTAGATTTGTTAATAGAGTTTTGAACAAATTTTAATAAATTACATGATAAAATATATTTATATTTTAGGTTTCATAATAGTCATTTTCAAACATGTATCGTATGTTACACATTACATCAAAACATTTTTTAAAACATGCTATACTAAACAAGGAAGTACTGTAAACATTTTTTTTTTAAATTTCAAACGTTCAATTTGACCAATATGGACAGGTTTTTGCAATATCTGGCTAAAGAGGCATTTATTAAAATATACCTATATAATTTTCATGGATAAATTATTCAATTATCAACCAACATCATTTCTTACTGCAATGATCTTTAATTTACCAATTTAATATGAATAACCCTAATAACAGATATAAAGGATAGAAAACAAAAAAGCGAAATCCGAGGGTTTTTTACTGAATGGAATGTGATAAATCAAAATCTGTTATATATACTGAGTATTTGGAAAATTAATTTTTGATAAAGTTCATGAGAAAACTTCTGTTAGGTGCGGTAAAATATATTTGAATCAAAAGCCATGATATCCAACCTAAAATCAAATCATTAACTTTAAAAATTCAAGATCGTTTGGTATAATTTTTAATAAAAATACTTCTCATACTGATTACTTCAATAGTTAAAAAGAATATATTTTAATAATAGTAAAATATAATAGGTTTGGCAAAGATAGTCCTACTTGTCGAGATGAAGATTCAAATAATATTATTATTTAGTTTATAATTATTTTATGAAAAGATTTTAACATGCAACTGGTAACTATATATTCCTGGTTTTAACCATCATATTTATTTGAAAATCACTTGATCCATTTCTAAAACAGCTGATATTAAGTTTTAATAAGAAGCATTAAAAAAAAAAAAAAGATCTTATTAATTTTAAAGATATACTAAATCCACAAAATATAATATATATTTAAAATTGAAAATAAAAAATTAAATAAGAAAATAAAAATCGAAGTCACCACAGGGAGGAAACTCAATGAAGTAAACCGTCTGTCAAAGAGCAAACACTCTTTCGAAAGATGATTTTTTGATAAGCTTAAGTGCAAGTTGAAGTCAAGTCAATATGGATAAGAGATGCCTATCTCATCAGAGGACTTCAGCCTTCTAACTTATTCCTCACTAGTGTCTATCAATCATATATAGTTGTATATTGTCAGTGCTCTCACTAAAGATAAGTTTCATAGGTCTGAATGTATTGGAAACATCAATAAAAAAATTTTTTGCTAAAAAAGTCATAATGCTATAACTAAAAATCTTCATAAATAGATCACTCCAATCAGATACAACATTATGAAAATAAATAGAAGTAACTAATTTCGAGAGCTGGATAGATAAACATAGAACAAACCTAGTTCTCATAAATTAATTAATATACTGAAGAGGAAAATTTAATTTAATTTTTAATTGAAAAAAATTTCTAAAAAAAAAATGTCAGTAATATAGAAAAATGAATAAAAATACATAACAGGCCTAGTAACAAAAATAAATGAGAATAGGTTTCATTCATAGATATTCAAATAAATTAAATTAGATCAACTTCAAAAAAATAAGATCACATTAAAAACAAAAGGCTTGAGTAAATAATAATAAACTGAATTAAAAAATAAATTTCTCTGTTTTATAAAATACTTATGTTGAATAAATATTTTGATATGTCGAAGGATAACACGTTTTGCTGTTTTTTTGTTTAAGCAAGATTTTTAAAAAGATCTAGGTATATTTAAAAAATACAAGTTAAGTAAAATCATCTTCATTATCATTAAATAAATGTCCAAAATGTAAAAGAATATCTCTATTCAATTCATGATATTTAAATTTAGAAAAAAATAAGGTAATTAAATATAGCTGAAAAATAAATATCTTATTTGTTGCAAAATATTTTGTATTCATGATACCGCCTATACTTTAACTACAACTTTCCACTGAAAATAGCCTGTTGCATTTATCCACTTTAATTTGGCCATAAATGGCAATTAGAAAGTATCATTAAATTACAACTTACTGTAAGTGTGTCATCAAGGGTGTCGTGCCACCTGGCAGATCTGTCAATGAGGGCATTCCACTTGTCAGACAGCTTATTCACTTCACGTCGAATACATCTAGTGAGTTCCCGAGCTTCAGCATTACCATAACGAGCATCTCCTGCAAAGGATAAAAATCAATACAATTTTAAAAATAATGTTCTTAACATATAAAATAATTAATTATTTGTCTTTAAGCATCGTCAATAAGTCATATTAAATAGTTATGAAATTTCATACCACTAATACTAATATAATTATTTCAGGATGCTTGCTGCCATAAAATAGAAGAGATCAGAAACAATTTTATCAAATTATAGACAAAACAACAAACATAATGATGTTAGTGATAACTAACTGCCATATATCTATATCTATATATGATCCTTTAAGTTGACAGAATGACTCATTTTAATGATATTTCTGGTAGGAAAATTTATATCTGTACATACAGTGCAGTGAGTAAGCTGATTCCAGATTAAGTGATTGCAGTGTTAAAATATAGAACTGTGAATAAATGTATAAATTTTCCCACAAGAAATATCACGAAAATTAATAATACATGTTGATATTAGAGTTAGTCATTCTGTCAACTGAAAGGATCATATATATTGTTGGTTAGCACTACAGCACTATATTTGTTCTTTTGTCTACAGTTTGATCAAATTGTTTCTATCATAAAAATTCAATAATAAAAAGTGAATTATTTAGAGGACTTGACATAAAGACAGATTTGATTCATAATGCATTCTAAATATAACTTCTCCAAAGTAATAAAAAAAAAACAATAATAAAAGATATATGGTTTATTAAAATTAGTGTAAGAGGGCACATGGCCACTGCCTAGACGATATGAATCATTTCTTTGAATTCAAAACCTATTATAACCATTACATTAATTATTATTAAGTGGCATTTCATAACCTTAACAATTAAGAACTTTGGTATTTTATTCCTTTATGAAATAAGAAAATTGTGTACTTGGTGTAATTACATAAATATGATGAATACATGATGTGTGTCATTTTCATACAATTGTGGTGTTTTTGAATAGATAAAGCCAAAATTCACAAAAACATATTTGAAAGTTATTTTATGTCAAAAATACAATTAGTGACTTTTTCCAATAAACCGATTTAACTTTATTTATCAAGAATAAAATGTATAATTTCAAAACTAATTTTATTTGGTTTAACAAAATGATTTAACTATTTCATAGATGTTTCAGAAATATTATTGCCGTAGAAATGTATTTAGGATAAACGGGCTTAAATGCTTGTACGGGAATGTAAGCTGTAAGTCGTCAACTGACAAAGTGTGACAAATGTGTTTCTGAGAGGCAGCAACCCTGATATCCTCCACTTGGTAGAACATGTTCAATTTAAAGCTTCAACAGGAATCTCAAAATTGATGAGTTCTGAACTCTACAGGCAATAATGTTTTACCAAATACACTAAAAACTTTTAATAATTTTATTTAAGTAATCTTCCACATTATAAACGTATATAAATGGTAGCAACAACTAGTTAATATTTACACCGAAATAGGAGTCTTAGATCACAATAACAAATTAAATCAAGTCAAGATCTTATTCCTAAAAAGAATTAATTGAACACCCCCAAAAGTATTTATACAATGAATGTAAGAATAGAAAAAAAATAGGATAATTAAACAAAATAAAAAATAAACAATGAGCCTAAAACAGAAAATAAACCTAGCTAATGATTAATAAATAAAACAAATAACTGGAAAACAACAGTAATTATGCCTGTTGAAGGTGGTAAAAATGTCTATTGTTAAAACATTAGTTTTATTGAATACTCGAGAGTCAATTAAATGTTCAGTAGTTCTGTATTTTGGCATTTATTTGGACTTCTTTTTATGAAATTTGAAGGAAATTAAATTTAATAAAAATGAATAAGGAGGAATGACGATCTAGAGTAAACAACTTCATATATCAATGGGCTGTTTTATAAAACTTGTATTTTAGAAATACAATAGACGTTTCTGATTTCTAATACATTTGACAAATGTATTAGAATGGTAGATGGCAAGTCAATAAGCATGATGACAAAGAGAGACAAATATACTGTCAGGCTGGAGCTAAAATTAATAAATTTGCATATATGTGGAGATGAGGTTATTTACTATCTACCTCTGAACCCAATCTACCTTCAGTAATGACCAAATTGTGAAATCAGTAAATAATTTCACAATTTTGTCAATTTCAAGAAAACTTTGAAAATAAAAAAACTCATACTTTATAAAAATCCGGTTAATCACTTATATTTATCCTGATTCTCTGAAACACACATGCACACACGGTAAAAGTTTGATTTACAGAACTAATACAATACTAAAAAGAAAGAAAAAGAAACACACCTAAGGATAAAAATATAGTGTGTTTTCAATGGACATACAAATAATGTTTCAACATAATTGTGAAAGATCCAAGGCTTATTGTTTTTGAAGCAACTCAATAGGTGAGCTAATGATGTAGGATAGGGTAAGGAGTTTATTTTGAGATGAAAACCGAACAGAATGATTGTGGGAAAATGATTTTAAGTAAGAGACCAATGAAATGGCATAGAGAAAGAGCCAATATGGGTAAAATCTCTAAATAGATAGATAAGGAATACTTGTCAGATGCCCAACACCTCTCCAAGAATTTTGATCAGTCAAATGACACATTTTGGTACAGTTAGTTACCTTCAGTATCACTGGTATCTGAGAGTGGAGGTTCGCTGGCTACATACTGGCGTCCTGAGAGCAAATTGCTTTCGATAACAGGTTTCTTATCCTCAAGCTGCCTCCTAAAAGCTCTATGGTCATCCTGAAATTAAAAAAAAACACAATTTAGTGCCATAGAAAAAACAAAACGAAAACAGTTTATACAAAAATATTTGATTAAAATTTAATAAGAAAGTAACATTGGATTACAGAATAATTCATAATCCTGGAAATCAAGGAAAATATTATAAAACTTTAATGCTTAAAGTTTTTTATAGTTATATATCAATTGTATATATATATATATATATATATATATATATACACATATGGTGATATCCAATTCATGAGCAGCCCATGTAGGGTCTTAAGTTCAGTACTGTTCCTGAACCAACAATTGTAATTTAGAACTTGTCATATAATGAGGTAAATCGGTTTAAAAAAAACTTTTTTAACATTTTAAAATATTTTCTGTAAATAATCATTTTTCATTCCTAATTGAAAGATATATAATTAAAAATTATATATACACGTAAAAGGTTCTACAATAACTACATCAATTAGTTTCCTCAGGTTGTGGAAATTGCCTTCTTGTGTGTATACTTGCTTAAGAAAAGTGTAGTTAAGAGCTAATGTAAGAATAATTAATACTAATCCCTAATAAAGCCGGTCTCAGTAAGCCCTCTGCTGTATTTTAATAAGGCCTCGACAGACATTTAACACCTTAAATGCACTACGGACTAAGTATATAAGAAGTTATAGCTAGTATTTAGTATTTAGCCGGCAGCTAAGGCACAATGAATACAAATTTGTTTTAATTAAAAACAAATCTAAAGCATTTAAATAACTTTGAATAAAGATAACAAAAAATAAATAAATATTATATTTAGTAATGCAATAAAATATTTTTAAAAGGAAATTTCAAGTAAAACAGTTTTGTTAACTGTTAATTTTAATAATGATTTTTTTTTATAGGAGTAACTGAATTGAATTTTAAATTTTATTCATAAAAACTGTCTAAGAATACTTTTTTAAATCTTTATTTTTATATCCAGGCCTGCATCAATAACATATTATAGACATGAGGGATTTCAACAAACATTGACACCTCCTATTTTTTACATGAAATTCTAAATGATTTTACAAAAGGAGATCTCGAAACCAGCTTCTTTTAGTAAGCTCGAATATGTTCATTCCCATACTCAGAACAAGTTTATTATAAGAACAGTGGACTTTGCTAAGAAATTTTAAAAAGAGAATAAGTATGATAGTCAACAGCAGATGTCGGTCTATGTGCAATGTTTTGCTAATGGCAAACGAAGGTGATTGTGTTATTACTCTCAGCATTTTTGGTTTCCCATTTATTTTACATAAATTAGTTACTAAAATCTGTGAAACCTAGGGCCAAAGAAATATGCACAAGTATTCAGTCATCTGAAATTGTTGATATTTACAGAAATATCAAATTGAAAACAATTTACATGAAGCTGAATGTAGATAAAAAAATTATGGTTATAAATCTTTTAATTTTAAATTTTATTACATCAACATTTTTCCAAACACTATACTATTAAGCCAATTAATACCAATAATATTCTAAATTCAACAAGAGTATCCTGTAAATATGTAGATAGCGATTACAAAAGATATTCCTTTCTCATAAATCATCAAAGAAAAATTAGTTACCTGGAGCTTGATGAGAGAGTTGATGTCAGCACTCATCACAGACAGACTAGAGAGTTCTGTGTCCTTCCGGATTACCCATTCGATCAACTCCCTCAATGACAGCAGTAGAGCATTCCAATGCTCCGCATTGCTTTCCAGGCGGTTCCTGAACAGAAAAAGGTGAATATATAGAAAAAAAGTTTAGAATATAAAGATAATATTATATAAGTATATTAACTAATTCTCAACCACATTAATCATACAAAAAGTAAAAATACTAGGAGAAAAAAGGACAAAGAGACAGACAATTAAAAAGAAAACTTGAGATAAATTATTTAAATATAATGAAATACCTGAAATATCATAGATTATCATCAGAATTCTAGGTCACTTAGATTTGTATTCTGTACCCTAGTACCAACTTTATTATACTTTTTATGAGCAACATAAACTCAATTTTAAGTTTCGATAGGAACTTAAAAATCTTAATATAAAAGAAAGATTAGCAATCTTTAAGAGATCTAAAGTTAAAAAAGAAACTGAGCACTTAAGTTTAGTTCTAACTTGTAATAATCAATAATTATGTAATAATTGATATAAATTCTGCCTAATACAGAGGAGGAATCACTGTACCTCTTCATTATATTTTTTTTTCCATAGATTCCAAAATAAAAACAACAAGTCTCTCGAGTTAAATTAACTATCTGGTATCTGAGTCAAGTACATGACTCTAATTTTTACAATTATAATTAAATAGAAGCCTTAATGAAATAATTTGTTGTTACATTTCATGCGATTGTTATATAAATATCCAATGCAGGATGTAGATCATCGACATCGAATTCTGAGGACAACTCACTTGATCAAGTTAACATTAAAGACAATGGTAGCCCTCAAGAAACTCTTCAATGTTGAAATATTGACAAGTTAGTGATTAACTTTGACTGATTTGAGCTTATTTTTTTAAATTATCCCAAAATGAACTATTCATTTTAAATCAGACTATTTCACTTGCTTTATACAACGTTAAATGATAAAATTTCAAAGAAACATCATCATTCAATACGTAAAGTAGTGTAAGTTGAGAAAAAGTTAGCACTCTAGGTTCATAACGCCTCAGATCTCACCCTTCAACCCTCCAGGACTCAATCTAACAGGGTAATCGAGCATAACTGATCAATATCACAATTTAATTTTGATTCGATAGGTAGGTAAGTCTGTTCTCAAAATGAATCAATAAAAAATCTTGTAATTTAGTTAATATCATAATGAGAAATCAGTTATAAAGAAACTAGCACGACAAAATATTAAATATTAATAAACTAGAAAAAAAAATGTTACATACGAAAATAAAGAAAAAAAAAATTATACAAGGGCTTGATTGCTTTTTACACCTAAAAGCGCATCTGTTATAGCGCAGAGGGTGCCCGATCTGGTACGCAGAAGACAGAGCTCGAAACCATACAAAACAAAGCAACGAAATCGGTCAAGCCATTCCAGATAACGACACAGACCAATATTAAAAAATATGTTTTTTGGACTTAGAAAACGATCTGTTGAAATGAAAACAGCACATCGAAATAATTTACCGGATTACAATACTTTGTTTACCTGGTAGGGGCAAGGAAGTAAAAACTACAAAATCGTAAATATTTGATTGAGCTTAATATTCGTTTCCTGCTAATTTATCACTTAACTTCCCTAATGTATTACTTTTATTAGAGTGCTATCAATGGGTAATTTCTCTACAAGTCTTTGTAAGTCGGTATATTTCTTTGTTTATATTTACTTGCCAAATTTTTATTTTAATTCAGTAGTGAATTTCTTCAATAAAAATTGAAAAAGAAAAATTGTTATACAATAGATTGAATTTTGCTTATATCATCAACATGTATCATATTCTATATGCTTCCTCTAAGCAATGCCAGTTTCATCGTCCAGCGAAACGATTAATAAATATAAAAATCTGGTGCGCACATCAAACGAGTTTCATTTACCACTCTCTTCTCTGTATAAATAAGTATTTTCAGACTAAGGGGAAGAGAAAGTAAAAATTATAGACGCTATATTTATTTACATTTTATTGTGGATATTTTTATTTTTTTAAATACCCTTATATAGACAAATTTTAATTTTTGTATCGCTGTATTCAATACAATTAAATATTAAATAATACCAACGATAGGATTTATGAAAACCGCATATGTATAGGTACATAATATTGTCGGAGATTATATTAAGCACATCTTCTGTATGTACTCTTTCGGGTGAGGTCGTATTCGTTTGGTTCTTCCATTACAACTATTATCCGTTACTATCTCTTATTTCTCCTTTAGTTAATTATCAAATTCTTTCTTATTTTATATTTAACTATTTTTTTTATCAAAGATTAATGTAAAATGATTAATTATTCCGAATAAAAAAAATTAAAGGTACTTTAGAGGAAGCTAATATTGAAAATTAGCCATTTAAGCCCTGTTATTATCAATGAGAATAAAACCTACATTATATTAAAAACTGCTTAATAATACACTGGTATACTGAGTTTAATCAAAATCGTTAGAGCCGTTCTTAAGAAAATCGTAGAAATGTGTAAAATCGATTATATAAAGTACCACTTCCGGTTTGCCGATTTTGACGAAAATGTTGCTGTAACATCCAAGGATTATAAAAACCTCAAATACGTAATTTCAGTTCCATAAGGCTTTTCATTTTTGATCTAGGCTGTTCACATACAAGCGACCATTTTGTGGGACTTGGTTATTTGAACTCAGGGAACCTCAAAACGTGTATTTCCATTGAAAACTGAGATTCGAAAATTTTCACGATCGCAATGCTTACTATATATTACATATATAGGTAAGTGAACGTAAAATGTAAATGAAGTTTAACTTTTTCTTAGTTAAGATTAATTTGCAGCCGTTGATGACCTGGATGTTTTACGCCTTGAAACCCCAACAAGCAACTAACAACTTTTTCTTTGTTGGAAGAGGACCAAAAGTTATAAATTCGATTAGGTCGCGAAAGCTTCCTTTTTATTCTTTTTAAACTTATTATAATACTAACTCTGTAACAAGTAATTAGAAGGAGGAATTCAGGAGGCAGAAGTATATTATTGGCATTAGTGTTGTCCAAATGCGAGACCGAGACGAGTCTTGGTCTTGGTCATGGTCATGGTCATGGTCTTGGTCTTGGTCTTGCGCAAGAGTCTCTCAACAGTCTTGCAGTTAATTATTAGCTTATTATGATAGAGATATTACGGTAATTTTTTAGACAGGAGAAACCTAACTAAGCCCGAATGAAAAACTGGTTAAATGCAAAAGTATATTGGTTATACCAGTTCTTCATATATAGTAACCAAGACCGTCAAATATTAGTAACTATTTTGTCTTAATTTTTACTTTAAAAAATCGATGTTTTTTTTACTATTCCTGGTCTTGGTCTTGCAACAGTTAGGTGGCACTTTGGGTGCAAAGTGCAAGACCAAGACCGATTTTGGGCAACACTAATTGGCATATATAACTACAAATTATTTATCCTTGTACATGATACCTATGTATAAGATTTCTGAAGTAGATGCCCATATACAATATCAAAGATACAAATGACAAGAGTTGAGGAGTTCCAATCTGCGGACTGATGCATACGGAAGACAAGGGATACGAGGAGAGAATCATTACAAGTGGAGCGGAGATTGGCTGGAAGAGAAGACAATATCGATTTCCGATGGTCAGCTAATGAACCTAATTCTCTGGCAAGAGCCAACCCATTCCGAGAGATTCCTCTGCCCGCCGGTGGCAGTAGTGAGCAGTGGAGCTCTCTCACTGATTGCCACTAGAGGAGGCATGTCCCTCCTTACGATGGGGCAGCCGAGCTGGACAACGGCGAATAAGAAGAGGCTTATTAAACGTAAAGGCAGAATAGAACATACAATACTTTAGAACTTAAAATATAAGGGATGAAGAAGGTAGATTATTTCTGAAAACAAAGCCGATTAAAAACTAAGATAACAATAAAAACACAACAAAAGAAATTTCCGAATTTTGCTGATGCATATTTGTAACGAAAAGTAACGTTAAGGAAAAGTGCTGGGGATGGAGCTACGTCACGAGAGGAGGCATGGCTTCCAGTACCTAGCTTATAGCGTTTGTATATTTTATACTTTTCAGCATGTTTTTACTTTTTTTTATTTTTTGTTCTTCCATACATCGTCTTTTAGGCTATACGGGATTTTTCCGAGCAGTAGAGTGAGGGCAAGGCAAAGTACAAGACCAAGACCAATTTTCGGCAACACTAATGCTGACTGAACCAACACAATGTATCCACCGCGGAATCACCTCAAACTAAGTTTTACCCGCTATCCCAAAGTTGCCCACCCAGTTCCAAAGTTACCCCATCTTACGGTACTTATCTTTCTCATTTATTTATAACACAAAAACATTTCCCTTAGGATGTTATAATGTTTTTATTATTCTTAGGTTTATATTATAATAGTTATCTCATTTGTACGGTTTACCTTTTTCTTCTCTTATATTTTTATATTTATAGTTTGGATCGAAACGTCGGCAAACTAAATAACTTAATTTTTTTTTTACGGCTCGTCATGACAATTTGCAACCGTCAACTATATACCCATTCCTAAAATAGCCACAACAAATATTGCAAGTTATATGCGTGTACACATGCTTTTGTACAAAAAAGTGAACTTCAATAATTCATGTTATCTGATACCTCATTAACTACTCCATGTTTGCTAAGCATTTATTAGCTTAAATCCAATCATATATTGGCAAGTAATATGTTATGACAATCTTTTAAGATCTTCCGAGATATAAAGTAGAGATTTCATCGGATTTGACTTGACTGGGCAGAAAACTGAATGTTAATTATGGAATATTAAAAGCAACTATGACAGAAGAGCAGGAGAAGCCAAAGCTATACATCATGAGGTATACATTAGTCCTCATATCTGAGGCAATAAACAGAGAGGCATTAACACCCGCCTGGCAGGTGTCGCGGAGTGGACCATCTAGCGCCCTCATCAATCACCGTGGCGGGGCAGGGCTGCCAACTTGTCCGTCCTGCCAGGTCTACAAGTCTCTTCGGGGACCTGGGCTTACAGCCCAGGAGGGGCATCATGGAACAACTGCCGTACCTGCATCTTACAAACAACATCTAAATCGATAAACATCAACAGTGGTAATTCGCCAAGATTTTTTTTCCAGAAACCTCTCTTGATTTTCAGGTTGATTCCGTGAATTTTGGATAATAAAAAATTGCCTTCAGTCATTGACGCTGTCCTCTTTTCCAAAAATATAAAGACGCTCCGCCGCTAAGTTCAAATTTAGTCAGGTTTCAGGATAGCCGAGTGAGCTAACGCGTGTGCGAAACATGCGTTGCCCGGAGCAACCTGTGATATACCGAAATTTACAAGTTCAAATCCCAGTGCAGGTTGGGACTTTTTACTCTAGCCTTATTCTAATTTCCTTTAATTATTTGATAAAAAGGAGAGAAAAGATAACAATAAATGTTTCTGATTTTTGATTGTTCTGATTTTCATTCAGTGCAAAAATTGAGTTACTTTTATGTTGATGAGATTTATTTCGAAATGTATTAAATAACATACTATTACAGAGCGGTTGAATTTTATTGTGTTGGAGAGGGCGTAAATGAGAAGGAGACACAATTAAGAATAAAAATAAACAAACAGGCGCTTTTGAAGTATCTACAAAAGTAATCTATCTAGGCACTTATGATTATCTGTAGCCAACAAGCAATGTTGAAGGAAAAATATTAGAATATTCAACCTATATAGAAAATTCAAAGAAATTGAATTTCTTTTTTAAGAGTGTTGTTAAAACAATTGACCTAAGTAATCTGGAATGAATGGTAAAAAAAAAATAGTGTTAACCTTTGCCGAAATTTCGGTTCCCTTTTTAGCTGAAATCCTGAGACATACACCTTTCTTTTCGGATTTCCTTTTTTATTTTTATGAAGAAGCCTGGGACATTAAAAAAATCGAAAAGGTCTTATTTTGCTTATAACTATTTCCCTTCCTAGGTTATAACACGCAGAGCTATTTTGATTTCATAAAGCAGAACAAAATTTTAAAAAATGAACAAAAAACCAAGGATGATGACCTGATTAATCAATAATTCAACAAGAAAAAAGAAGTTAAGAAATAAATAAAACAATAACTACTGATAATAAAGAAGTAAGTACAACCCTTAATAAGAAAAGAATGGAAAAATCTACTATAAAATAAAAGACTAAAATTGAGCGGACATAGGATCAATCAAATATATAGTAAAAAATAACTTCATATATACCCAATATGATATCTCTAGGAAGTTTATTGAAACATAAAACTGGATCGGAGGGTTTTAATATAGGCGAGATATAAGCAAATGCTTAAATATAATAGGAAAGACATCTGTGCAATAGGCGTAATATTAGCGAGAACCTGTCTAGGGCATGAAAGCAATCGAATATTTAAACATATGAACACTCAAGAGGTTTAAACCTGTACCACTACAACCCATGAAGAGTCTTAAAGGAAATATAAGGAAGCAAATATTTAAATTATTGTTTATAAATTACTGTTAGTATTTCTACAAAAAAGTTGAGATTGCTTAAATATAAATATCAAAAATAATGGTCGAGAAAACATCAATACGTTATATGGACTTGCAGATAGCTCAAAAAAATGCAAAAATAATATAACTTGAAAGTAAAAATTATCGTTTCTTGATATGAAATCTTTCTAAATTATTTTCAAAACGAAAATAAGAATCACTATATTAAAACGGGGGAAACATTAGATCATGAATTAAGTACTTGCCTGTAAGAAAGAAATATCGTAAATTTGAGTTGCAGTATAGTATGCTGCAGTAAATTCAAATAATAAAGAATGCGTATAAAATTAAATTTAAAAAAAAACCTGTACCACTACAACCCATGAAGGGTATTGGGTTCGGTAATATGAAAGAAAGTACTGTTACAAGGCCAACGGTTGTGCAGGGAGGTGGATTGGGGCGATATCATGCTTAACCGACAGGTTTTCTCCCTTAATTAAATATTTAATTGAGAGTACCCACTTTATAGAGGCTGAGTATTCCCCATGAGGGTCTCCCGATCCCAGGGTCAATTAATGGCTTATGAAAAATTACTTGACAAACAGCCGGATTCGAACCTGAGCTTGGGAAGTCAGTGCTCAACTACTGAGCTTCTCTCAAGAGGATTAAGGGGAATAAAATAACTTAAGTACTACATAATAAACAAATAAATGAAATAATGCATTACCTGATGGCCATGGATTTGTTCTTGAGATGGTTCCACCGCTGGTTCATCTCGTCCAGCCGGCGCTGCAACATTACCGCGTCGTCCTGGGAGGTGAGGCTGCCCAACAGCTTCCTTCCGGTGCTGTTGAGCGAACCGAATACCTCCTTGTGGTTTTCGATTTCGCATTGTACATCCTAAAAGAGGAAAATAGAAGCAAAATTAAAAAAAAAAATCATCAAACGGGATCGCTATAAAATAAAAAAAATTAGGATAGTGAGGAGGTATTTAGAATTAAACACCTTACAAGGCAGAACTACTTATAACATAAACACATTAAAATAAACTATTTAATGTGAGTAAAATTATCACACATAACATATCCGCATTAAATTTAATCACGAAATGAATACAACGAAAAAAAAAGCTGCAAATCATTTCACAATGGTTTATTATTTCCAAACAACTATACATCTACAGTAACATTACCTTCCTAGTTACATTGAAAAATAAATAAAGGATGATTCCAATTACTAAACTTTTTTTTTAATGATTAGTAATATGCTAAAAAAAAATAGCATTACTTCAGTAACACATTCAAAATTTAAAAACCAAACAAAGGACATAACATTTAGCAAAGAACATATAAAAAAATTGGAGACCATATCTTTGCTAATAATTGTCTAATTTTTTTTTATTTTTTTTCGGAAATTCCGTAAACTTTTAAAAAACCAATTTTACCATCCCTCGTGACTTTTTTTCCAGCTTCTTTTCGTTACAGTATGTTATATAGATATACTTAAAGGGCGTTAATAAAATGACTTTAGAAAGTTTCATTGAAATCGGTACATTCGTTTAGGAGCTACAGTCTATAGCAACGCAGGTTTTTCGGCCGCCAATTTGAAAGTAAAAGACGGATAGTAATGTCGATGAAGGAGGATCGTCCTCGGGTGACCTCTGATTTTATATCCAAGTTTGAAAAAAATCGGTCCAGTAGTTTCGGAGAAAATGCGCGGACGGCGGACGGACAAAAAAACTTTTATTCGTTTTTCGAATTCTACGCATCCTGAAACGTGCATCTTCAAATTTTGAGAGGAGGTTTGGTATGATATATCAACCAATATACGAGTACATGTACCTACATTATTACATCTAATATATCAAAAGATACATTAGATAAAATAATAAATATGAACCACGGTAATAAATAATAGGCAGCCCGCTAAAGATTGGGATAACGCGCCTGCAACGCGTCCGAGCCACATCATGCCGGCGCATGAAAAGTACCTTATCGATAAAATCAAACATGGCTTCCAACATTGATGCAATTATTGGTGATTATTTCATACATCGAACTCTTATACGTTCTATGTATGAGAGTTCTCATTTCCACCCATAATGAAAAATATACATAAATAGCATTTATAATTCAGAAGCAATATCAACTTGGCAAAATTAACAGTAACAGACAGTTTTGAACTCATTAAGATGTCATAAGCTTTATACGTCCAGAAGATAGTGCAAATAAGATTAGATTTGAAGTTAGGACACTTTGGAAGGTGATGCCTGAACTTCAGGTGATGTCATGCCACTGTAGCCGATTGGTTGATTTCTTAAGTTGATTTTTCAATGGAGCAAGGTGTTTGTTTTAGGGAGCTTTTCTTATCACTTTTCATTAGAAGATAGGATTGAATTTTGAATTTATTCATTTGGTATTTCATTTCCTTATTTGAAACTGTGGAGAATTTATTTTGTTTTTTTTTTAATTATATTAATAAATCTGACGACCCCGAAACATGGTTTTCTAGTACAGGTAACAAAATATGCTGTCAGAATTTCCTGAATTTTTCCTGAATAATAAAAAAATTGACTGTATAGAAAAAACGAAATATGTATCAGACTAAATTTGCTGTCCGTAAGATCCACTGTCAGAACTTAAGTTGCGATTCACATCAATATTGCAAAATTCTCTTAAAGTGCCTATTATCGGTATATTTACCTTAAATAATTTTTGTTTTATTTTAAGGTTTCACTAAAAATTATATAGTTCTACAGAAATGCTGATAATAATTACATTCGAGACTCCAATGTTTAAAATGTTTTTTTTTTATTTGTTAATATTTGATGAAATTTACTACCGTATAAACAATACAACTAGTAAAAATGCACACGTTGGAAATAACGACATGAGCAGACTTGAAGAGATAATGCCCAGTGGTAGCACTCCCTATTTAATTCTAGGTGAGGAGATCACGTGGACATCTTCTTTTCAGACGCCTAGGGGGATTATCAGGAATCAAGGAAGAAGCAAGGCTGGAAACAAGTGGATTCGGATGGAACTGGAGTTTATCATAAAAGGATAGATTTCTGGCTCGGGCTAAATCAGCGGCATATGGAACATTAAGGTCTTTATGAATGGTTTTATTTGGGACAAAATATGGGGCATACGAAGGATTTTGGAATGTAAGGATTGGATATGATAGGAATTCGATGGTTTGGTAGACCCCCAAAGCTCAACTCCGTATGTCCATATAGGTCTTATTATGGTTAAGTAGATGAGTCCTTTGAAATTTGGGAAATTTATGATGTTAATTTCACCTCTGATAGAGCATTAAGCGACGAAAATAGATGTCATTCATCTATCATATGTCGTGTGCATTGGTCGTGAGCAAGTTGTTGTTTGTTTATTATTACTTATTTTTAGTTAATTGTTTTTTTACTAAGATAAAAAACACAGACTTGTAGCAGACATACCCTCTCCCAATTTTTTCCTTATTCATAATTAAAAAGCTTTTGTCAGATAGCACTGTTTACAAAATGACAGAAATCCTGTGTATCAGTGCCTGTAAAAATTGAAAATAATAGATAAGTACATTAAATAAATGAACTTTATGTACGCATCATTTTCAAAATTCCTTAATTTAACTATTCAATTTTCAAAAAATGAATATTTTTTTTATATAAATACTACGTAATCATAATTTTAATTCCAGTTGTAAAGTTTAATAATCATAACAATGAGAATTATTTTTTAATATTATTCGGCATTCTGAAACTAATATATATATTTTTAATCATATTGTTTTCTGAATTAAAAAAATATATATATCGACAGAACATAAATGTATTTTTAAACAACTGTTCCAGCCCCACAAAGAATCTGAGGGAAAAGAATGTTGTCAGATACAATTGGACCTGAAAATGAAGATGTAATTACCACAACGGGCTCATCAACACCTCTTCCAACTCCTTTATTCACTGTTATCTGTTCCGTCTTTATGTAAAGTTATAATTGATATTTCGACATATAGTTCCGAAATGTAACAGTGATGTTCGATCACTCAGTTATTGAAAACCGATTTATTTTTAATTTTAATTTCGCAACAGATTTAGAAAATAAATAAATTAAACACATTGATATATCAATAGAGATTAAATAAATTACGGCTTGAGCAATTGTGATAAAAGAAATTTAAATAAGTCAACAAATTGTGTTTAGTAAAAAGAAATCAAACATTAATTTCTTCCATTCGTGCTACCTCCTTCTGGAATTCTTTACCCATCTCCATTCGGCAATCCTCATCCATAAATTCCTTCAAATAACTCTCATTCCACCACACACATGATTTTCAGACCACCACATTTATGTAATATTTATTGGTCTGTAATTACAATAGTTCATTAACGATTAATCAACAAGTACCATTTGATTTAATTTTTTTGTTGTAATTTTGTAAATGTGTAAAACATAAAATTCACTTGTGTTACTTTATTTATTTACTATATAATTCAATTAACTGAATAAGCGCAATCGCAGTTGCAATTAACAGTATTTCTTTGTATTTTGTCAAGCGAGACTAATGGGCTCGATTTTTTTTTTAAACTGTTTTATTCTAAATGGACTTCAGTCCCAAAATAAAATTATTTTTTAATTTATTTCATACCTTCACAACTAAAAGAAGAGAATGATAATAGCTCATTTAAGAGAAGGAGATTTTACAATACAAAATTAAATAAAAATAAAAACCAGAAAATATGCTAACAGCTTTCGAAAATTAGGATAAAATCGTGAATGGTCATTTCGTAACTGCGAAGAAGTAATTTTTGAATACATCTCAAACTTTATCGCTATACTTCTATCCATATATCCTATTTATAGTGTCCTAATTTCTTTTGTTCACAAGTATAAGGCCAGTTGATCACCATTGTTTTTATTTATTTTATAATTATAGAAAATAACGTTTCGACCAGCGAGCCTAGGATCATTTTCAAGTATTACATTTGTAGTTTCATCCCCTTTAACAATATAAAGAAGACAATTTAACACTATAAAGAAGATGGGAAACCCAACTCGACATATTTATTTCATTACTAAAACAAATGTGATAAACTTGATAACTGGACATTCAACAGAAGTACAAAATAAGACGAGAAAGTGAGCACAGTTCTGGCCAAAACAACGTTTTTTTTTTTTATTTTAAAATAAATAATAAATATGATGAATTTATTTCTCTATTTTTTTTTGTCTGCAGTAAGATACTATTTTACTCCTCTCTTATCTATTCTTACAAATTCTATTTGCACTAGGCGTCCGATTTAATATTTTCATTCATTATATTTAACTTTTTCTTATTTTTGTGATTATGGAAAACCAATAAATATAATTATAAATATACATACACATATATACGCTTTCATTTTATAACAACCAACCAAACAAAAAAAAAATGTTATAATTAGATAGTCGTTTGAGGAGATTATATTAATGCAATTAGTAGTTTTAATTCAATTAAAGAACGATATTCTGCATTAAATTTTAAATCTATAAAATTTTAAACCTCTAATCAAGTCACGGAGTAATTAGACCATTTTAAGATGTTTTAAATTCTTGTATAAAAATGATTAAGTGACTGTTTTTTTTTAAATGATCAATAAGTTGTATTATTATTACGAGTGGTTCGTAATAATTAATATACTTCATAGCCAATCCTTCATCCTATAAAAAGCAGCCTAGTTATAAATTTATGCGTCATAACACCGATTTATTTTATGCTGTAATATGAATATAAATAGCAAATGTTTAACACGATTAACATGATTATAAATACATTACCCCAGACCTCAGCTCAAATCTCCCCTGATCCCAAGTCCAGCGGGAAGCATTGATCAAAATCCGCACATAATAGATGATGCTATCAATCCTCGCTTGAGAAAATCTTCTTTCACGCTCTTTATCCGCGTCCCCTATAACTCCACACCTTCCACCGCCTCTTATATAGCACATAAATAACGAGATTTGGTCACGTTGAAATTGATCTCAGTAAAAATAAAATATTACATTATTTTTAGTAATATAAAAACGGAATGACGAATGAATATAAATTCCTACACGATAATACCCTCATCAATCTGTAAACATAAAGATATTACAAACTAGCAAAAAAAAAAAATTTATTCCAAAATTTTAATACTAAAACAACAGCTCCCTTATATATATATATATATATATATATATATAACATTACATACCAATTTACGACAAACAACAATCGACCAACAAATACGAACTCTTTACTCCCGATATCATATTAAACTATACGGACAGAAAAGCAGACTTATAAACGCATGGCCACACCACAGCTGACAAGCCGATCAGGGTACGACTGAAAAGGATATGGATGATAGATCTCCTTGCCTGAATTAAGGAAGCGAACAAAGACCAGAAAAAAAAGTGCTGACATGTACTAAACTTTTGCTTTTTATAATACCTCTTTCCAAATTCGATAATACATTTGCTTATTGTCACAATCATGTGACAGGTGCGTGTGATGATTTATAGAGAAAAAAAAATGTGATAAGTATACCTTGGCAACTGTGGGACTTGGGAATCTTTCGGCAAGAATTATGATTAATCTTGAAAACGGTACATTTTAACTCTTTAAAAAGCAGAACTCAGTACGTACGTTCCGAAGGGCTTCACCAGGACTTGATGTCCACTTCCAAATCTTTTTAACACAATAGTTCCGGTCCACCGACTTGTTAACGTCGGAATCACGAAACTTACTTTTTTCAACGATTTCGTAGTACAAATTTACGTATCGAAATTGGGATTCGTCATTCCTTCATGACACACCTTCCCTTGCCCTAACCCATCACTGGTGAGAGCTGTAGAATGAATATTATACTTAGGGTAGCCATAACAGTTTCTGTAAGCAGCTCTTTATTGGTCTTTCTCCTCCACGTACTCTGATCCGAGATAGCTACGGTTATCAGGCGTAAGATTTTTCTCGCAAATCTCGCAATACTTTTTTTCTAGGGTGCGGGCTAACGTCTAGGTCTCACAGCCATATATTAGAACTGGCTTTATCATATCAATACAAATCGTTATTCTGAGATTTATTGATTTTTTTCGGGATATCAATACTTTTGAAATGGAGAAGAAAGCTCTGTTTGCGCTGGTTTGTTTCTGACCGTAAGTGATCCATTGAGGTTATTTGAATTTTTCTACTTTTGGGAAGGATTCCCCTTTTATCGATATCCTGTTATTGGTGTGAAATTCAGGGCGTATTATCAAGTATTTTCTTTTTTCTTCATTTACTTATAGAGCGATCTGCTTAGATTCACTTATCAGAGTCTTAGCGAGTTTCTCAATATCCTCTTGGTTATTTTCAAGAACAGCTATATCACATGCATATCCAAGGATTATATGATTCATCCCGACATGGACTTCTCCACTTTCGTGTGACGTTCTTATCATCTTCTCCAGTGATGAATTGCACAGCATCGGTGATAGTCTATCTCCTTGCCGTAAGCCCGTTCGCACTTCAAAGGTTTCAGATACTTCTTCATTTTTCACTAACAAACCGAGAACTTAGTTTTCTAATAATCGACTAAAAAATAATATTAATTTTTAATTTTCTAATTATTACCAAATAATAATTTTTTATGCATTATTAGAAATTTTACTTTTATTATTAAATTATTTAATAATTACATAGATTGATCGGAGTAGTAAATAACACTTTAACCAAAAGGTGGTAGATTAGGGAGCGGCCCATTATATACACACTAAGGAAGTTAGGCAAAATAAACCTGACCCAAGCTTAGGGCTAAATTATGTGTACAACTTAGCACTAAGCCCAACTGCGGGGCAACCATTTTAAATCAAATAAATTGCTTTTCATAAATCTGTTTTTATTTTTATAACACCGTTGTGAGGTTAATATCTTTAAAAGCGGCTATTTATTATATAATAAACGCGAAATGGGATTTTATCAGGGCCCTTCTGAGAATGTAATTCAAAATAAGTGAGCCAAAAGGAAATTTAGAAAATTAACTTTGTATTTATTTTATATCTCCGAGTATAAATAAGTTAGACTCGTGCAATGATTAAAGAAGTCTTCCGATAAATGTTTGAAAAAAGTAAAGATGAAAAACTAACCAACCCTCAAATACATTAATTTGAGATAAATGGAAATTCATGTTCTTACATAAAATTAAATTGAGCATGAAGAAAAAAAAAAAAGAAAAGGAAGAGAATTAATTATACATGTTATTTTATGAAGAAACCACTTCCGTTTATTATATATATATATATATATATATATATATATATATATATATATATATATATATATATATATATATATATATAACATGATTATGACATGGAAATGAACAACAATATTTACGACAAAAAATTCATATATTTATACTGAATATTTAAAATATTGATGAAATAAAATATATATATATATATATATTGTGGAAAAAGAGTGAATTTATTATGTAAAAAAAAGAAATATGATAGTAAGAAAAATTGTCCATAAACATGGGCTATGAGTTCTCAACGTCAACAAAGAGCACAAAAAAATATTTAAAAAACGGAAGAGGTCTTTCAATTAAAAAAAACAAACAAAATTTATTTTTTCGCTGTTCCTCATCAAATAGAAAGTATATTTGGTACATTTTATTTAGAATAGTATTAATGTTAACACGGAAATAGAAAACTAATGTATAGGGAGAGAGAATATTTCTCCCATTTGTGAAGAGTTCTCCCAAAAGTAAAATAATCCCAAAATATATATGATCGTTCTGATTTCTGTTGTGTTTATTATAGTTTTGATGGTTTCAGCAAATCGTAGAATGGTCTCTTATAGTTCAAAATGTGTATTTAGTATGATTTTTTAAATTTATTTTAGTTGAAAAATTTTCAGGAGGTAAATAAATTCCACCTATTGAAGTGTTATATATATATATATATATATATATATATGTGTGTGTGTGTGTGTGTGTGTGTAACATATATTTAAGCGGATAATTGGTTTTAACAAGATCATATAAATAAAATTCTATTAAAAAAAAAAAAGAAAAGCTTCATTAACGCCACCTTTTCCGAAAAAGCTATACACAATAATTTGTGTTTTTATGCAATACTAGAGTAATCCCAAGATTTTCTAAAAATGTTAAGATTAATAGAAACTTTATAGAATACGATCAACAAATATAATTAATGTAACTATTTTAATTTATTACATATATATTAATTAACCAACTGAGGGTTAAGGTCACGTGGCACATTTATGTATTGGTTAGGGAGCCAAATTTTCACAACTTTGAGCTATTAATATTTTAAATTATGTAATAGCAAAACGGACACAGTGTCCTGTAACTAAGGATCACATATATAAAACAAAAGTTATGACCAATATATAATAAGTAAAGAAGTAATAACATTCCACTAAACCGAGTTTATTATACTTTAAACCCACAACAATGCATTTGATTAAACTGAGTGACGGACAGCTAAACTACTCCATGTTAGGCTTAAATACAAACAAAACAAAGCGAGAATTTTGATGTAACTCTAGCTTTGGATACGGCCTGTCAACACAAGCCTTCAACTAATCAAAAACATCCAATCGGATTTAATTTGACCGGAGCTCATTAACTCCAAATCGATGGATTGTACCGTTTGTTATTTATATGAAAGGTTTTAATCATACGTCAAACCTCGAGTCAAGAAATTCTAAAATAGACGTAAGAAACTTATTTATTTATATTTAATAATAGTATATTTGCATTAGAAGGCAAAATAATACTTAATCAGAAGAGGAGGGGGGATAGGAAATTATCAGAAAATTCAAAGTAGAAAGGTTCGTTTTTAATTAAAATATTGGAATGGGTGTGTTTAATTGCTATACTGTAGATTAAATAACAGCAGGGGCATAAAATTTATTACTAATAAAAGTTGAACACCTGGATTTAATTAGAACGGTACACATTATTTCTTTTCCGAAATTATTCATCATTGAAAGGATGTTTGAAATATAATATTTCCCATATTCTATTTATGAAAAAGAAAAAAAAAATCAAATACGTCTCTAAATAAAGTAAAAAGAGAAAGAATCATAAATCAAATATAAAAATTAGAATAGTAATAAAATAAAACAAAATAGGGAAAATACGTGTAACGTGGGTAATTTCTGTTTAATGCTCCATAACTTCTAAAATAACATTGATTTTTAAAAGATCAAAATAAACTTTTATTTGTCATGCTTTGAAGATACAATTTTAATTTTTAAATTATTTTTTCACCAGATTTTGACTATGAAAAGAAATCATTTTTAAAAATAATATACGACCCAAAGTACAACTACTATAGTTGTACCTTGGGCTACAAATTGTATCATGGGAAATATTTGTTGTAATAGGAATTATAATTATTATTCGATACTAAGTATCTCTTATCTACATTGGTAAGCTAACTTTTTCATATCATCTGTCGAAAGCCCAAACTATATTACGCTTGCAGTCAGTAAATAATTTTTCATAAACTTCTTCAGTAAAAACCTTTTTTATTTGGTCCTCCCCTTCCTCGCCGTTAAGGCTATACGGGTTTTCCCCGACCAGAGGGTGTGGGCGGGGATTTAAAAGACGCCTCGGGCACCGGGACGCGAACTCATGACTATTTTTGTATCTTTTTATCGTACATCAGGTTGCCGGGCAACGGTGGTGCTGTGCACAACGCGTTAGCCCATTCGGCCACCCCGCCCACATCTTCAGTAAAAACCATTAATCAAAGATTTATTCCCACAAGAGACATATTTTGAAAATATATTAATGTACCTTAGACTGGCTCAAGATACATAACAAAACCCAAGGTACAATGATATGGCTTTATATTTTTAAATTTATTTTTTTAGCAAATTCCTAAAGTATTTTGCTTAGAACTTGCCTTCAAAAGAAGCTAGAGAGATTAAAGGCCGCGGTACAGACCCATTC